TGGGGGCCGACTCCGGGGAAGAGGTAGTCCACGTACGGCCGCGGCACTTCCTCCAGCGCACCGGGGCCGTCGGCGCCGAAGCTCGGGCCCTCGTAGGGGGCACCGCTCAGCTGGTGGTAGGACGCGAACGAATCGCTGGTTCCTTCGAAGCTGGGCCTCCGCGTCACAGGGGCTGGCATGAGCCCCTTTCCTGCCGTGGAAAACACAGGAAGACAGCATCAGAGTGGGTGTGATCAGTGGGTTCCGGCACTTCCAGGCTGGTCCCCCCACTCGAGCGCTGCCCTCGGGGCTGAGGGCCTTGAACCCTGGGCCCTGAGGTGCTGCATTCTGCCCAGCACAGGGTCAGCGGACTCCCCTCTGCCCTGCCAGCAGGACCAGTCGCCCTAATGTGTTAAGAGAGTGGAGACAAGCTGGAGGCCAAAGGGCACATGGGAAGGCCAAGGGCAGAAGAGAAGACCGCGTCCGCATGCTGAGGTGCATCCTTGCCCCCTGGGGACAGCACTGGGGTCACCCTCCTGTCAGGCTAGGGGGCCATCTGCATAGCCAGCTTTGTTTTCAAAACCCTATCATGCCAAATTGTGGGAAGCTGGGTTTACCCCGCACGGTTCCCCAGGCGCGGCTCCCTCACAGAAAGGGCGGACCTGTTTCCACTGTGCAGCAGCTGCTCCACTTTCTTTCACCTCTTTTCCAAATTAAAAGATTTTCTAGTTTTTTTGGTCTGTATCAAAACAAAGCAACATATGCACAACAAAAACCACACAAAACTCCTCTACAAATATCCAGACTGATTTCATCTGCTGCTACCTTAATCCTGACCTCCATTTTGAACATCTCATCTGAAACAGACACCGGAAGGAAGGCCAAAGGCTCCTTTCATTTCTTTAGACCAACTGCTCCACTTGGCTGGACTTAGCAGAGGGTGCCGAAGGGTGTGCCTTGCCCACAGGAAGACCACCCCTGATACGTGGCAGTGAAGGCCCTGACAGCCTGGCACTGAGCAACAGTCACAGGCAAACCAAGGCTTCACCTTCCCTGGGCTCAGAACACATCAATGAACAGACACACCAAAGGCAAGTGCAGAGGGAAATCAGCATGGAACACGGGCCTGGCCTCCCTTTGAGCTGTGCTCTAAGACCTCAGAACTGAAAGAACCCTGACATGGAAGGCCAGCTGGGGACTATTTAAGGAAGTCCCTTCTCTTAAGAAGAAGATAAAAATGTGTGTCCTCTTAACAAGGGAGATACAAGTTACAAAGGTGAGATTTTCTCACCCACGACATGAAGTAGGTTTTATCGAAGGTCTTCTACAAAATAGGGAAAACTCTTGATAATTACTATGATTGTTTTTTTTTTTTATTTTTATTTTTTAAATAGAGACGAGGTCTCCCTCTGTTGCCCAGGCTGGTCTCCAACTCCTGCCTCCTGCCTCTGGCCTCAGCCTCTCAAAGAGTTGGGATTACACAAAACAAAACAAAACAAAACAAAAAACAAAACCAGACCAGACAGTGTTGGGATTACAGGCTTGAGCCACTGCGCCTGGCCATGAATCCTTTATCACACCCCAGGGGCCTCAGGTACCATCATGGGGCCCATGTGCTCCGTCTCGGGAAATTAACATTCCCCCATAGCCAGTAAAAAGCAGGGGTTTGGTGCGGTGCCTCAGGCCTTCACAGGGGATGCTGAGGGGGGCCCAGCGCTCTGCCCACACTGCCTGCCATTGAGCAGCCACTCTCGGAGGCTACAGTGTGAGAAAGCTGTGTTTTAGAATTGAGGAAAGAAGCCGTCCTTGTCAAAGATCCCTCCACAGGCCCAAGAGAAAGTGAAAAGACTATTTTTATGCCCACTTTGCTGACTTTTTTGATCTTTCATAAAACAAGCACACACCTTTCCCTAGGTAGGAAGTACCAAGGTAATCTCAGACAAGGCTGGACGGGGCAAGCGCCAGGCATGTCCCATGGTTTACTACTTGGGGCTGCTCCCACCAGGGCAGGCTCAGGCCAGGGCAGGCTCAGCTTGCCCGTTTCCTGAACGAGGCAATGTGACAGGAGACTGGCTCTGGCCAGGCCAGGCTGGACCCCTCTGCACATGGTTTTGTGTCCTTAAGCCACAAACCATCTTTGTCCACCACGCTGCGGGCCTGGGCTCACCTGGGGAGGTCTGCTTAATGACCCGCACGATCTGCTCATTCCTCGGGTCCAGGTAGCCCATCTTGCTGATGTACTCCAGGGCAGCCTCGATGCTCCTGCTGCCCGTCTGCTTGAGAGCTCGGCCAGCCATCTCCTGGGAGGGAAGTAAGGGAGAGGTAAGCGCACGTCATCCTAAAACAAAGCCCCCAGGGGCTCCCGTCCCCACTGTGCTGGGACACTTTGCCTCTGTAGCTGCTGAGAACCTGCAACGCGCTGCAGGAAACCCTCAGAATGAGTGTGGGTGGCTGTGTGCCCTGCAGGTGCCTGATGACAGAAGCCTAGCACAAGCCACACCATGGACTACTTAGCCTTACGTCAAGGACATGGGAATTTTCATGGGCCTGAAAGAGACTTAATTCTGCTTCTCCTCAGAAAACTTTTGTGGTTGGACTGGTGAGGTCAGGATGAACCTAAAACTAGAAACGTTTAAGGGGAAGAACTGTGGGAGTCAGGGAACCTGGCTTTAACCTCGGCTCACCTCCAAGCTAACTCTGGGACTAGGAAACCTGTCCCCAGGGAGAGGGTGCAGCTGCGCAGGAGTCATATATTACATGCCTACTGTTTACAATGCCCCGTGGTGGCTAGAGCAGCAGAGGACTGGCCCTCAGAGATATGACTTGTAGAAGAAAAGACAGACACACCGACCCAGGACAAGTCCCTCAAACTGCTTGTGGGAAGAACACAGAGACTGGTGGCCACCACAGGAGAGGGCAGGCAAAATGGGAGAGGGCCAGAGGAGAAAGCCTCCTTCCACTCGGAAGATGAGGTGGTGCCATGGCTAGCTGTTCCAGACTTTGGGCAGGTGGAGAGCCCTGGGAGAGAAAAGGCATTCCTGGCAGATGGGACAGCCAGAGCAGAAACCTGGGGAAAGATGGGCCCATGGCAGCAGCACGCAAGGGTAGGTGGAGATGGGGGGATGGACCCACAGATGGGGGCCAGGCTCTCAGGGTTTTGCTCCTGTCTGCAGGCAGTCGAGGAAGCTTTCAAACTGGGACATGTGGCATCAGCAGGTCAGGCTGGGGGCGGCTGTGGGTGCAGAGCTGGAGGCACTCAGGTTGGGGGAGACACAATAGGCAGGAGGGTGCAGAAGAGATGCAGCCCAGTGGGGCAGGGCAGTGAGGCTCTGATGACAGCGCCCTCTTCACCTTCAAGGACAGCTCCGCAGAGCTGTAGGCAAACAGGGAGGGTAAGCAGAGAGAAAAGAACACCATTGAGACTGGCTCTGGGACAAGGGTGAAACAGGCAAAGGCCACAAAAAGGGCTTTGGCAGGAGAAGGGAGGGCTGAGCCCTTTGAAGGTCGACGAGGAGGGCGGCCAGGCAGGAGGAAACTGAAAATGCAGAACCGGGAGCTCCGGAAAGGAGTCCACAGTTACCCAGACAGCAGAGAAGAAAGGGGTGGAGATGGCTGGGTGCGGTGGCTCACACCTGTAATTCCAGCACTTTGGGAGGCCAAGGCGGGTGGATCAGGAGGTCAAGAGATGGAGACCATCCTGGCCAACATGGTGAAATTCCATCCCTACTAAAAATACAAAAATTAGCTGGGTGTGATGGTTTGCGCCTGTAGTTCCAGTTACTCGGGAGGCTGAGGCAGGAGAATCGCTTGAAACCTGGGAGGTGGAGGTTGCAGTGAGCTGAGATCACACCACTGTACTCCAGCCTGGCGACAGAGTGTGACTCCATCTAAAAAAAAAGAAAGGGGTGGAGATGCAGAGAGACCCCGGGACAGTGGGGGATGCCGTGCAGGGCTGCTCTGTAGCAGGAAGCCTGGCCGTGGTCACAGAGCCGCTCTGCAGAGAGAGACGCAGCACTGAGTGTCCCCCACCTCTGGACAGGGCATTGTGGTGCCCATGACCTGAATCACACTCAGCTGTGTGTCTGTGGTTCCCTTAGGACAAGAAGAACCTGGCAGGGCCTGAAACCATGTTACTCATGGCTGCATCTGCCCACTTAATACAGTGCCTAGAACAAATTCAGCACTTATTATCCATATATGATGGTCTAATACGGAATCAAGCTTTCCAGTCCTGGCCATACGCCAGCAGATTGGCAGGACAGAAAACACGGGCTGTAAACTGCCTGGGTTCTTAGTGATGCAGGCGTGGGATGGCAAGATGGCAGGGACAGGGACAGGGCTGCAGAGGAGCACGAGGTGGAAGGCCTGGGGAGGTGCCTCCACATGGGCAGGCCATGCTGCAGTTGAGGGACGTGAAGTGACAGATTGGAACATGGGAATAAGAACAGACCTGTCTGTGAAAGCGGTGCCTGGACTCCCAGAAAGGGCAAGTGTTTACAACCTGGCAGAGCCGCAGAGAGAAGGCAGCAGTGGTCAGAAGGGAAGCACTTCCTGGCCTCACCTGGGAAGGGAGATAAGACTCCCGCCGCCTATTTCACAGCTGTGCTATGTGATGAGATCACGTCTGTAAAGACTCAACAGCTTGGAGGAAGACACGATATAAGACCACATCTTTGTGGGATCACCCTGGAGCTTTCGGCGCCCATTAAAAAAAATGTGCCAATTGGGGCCGACTCTAACCGCAAGCCTTTCCATCAGCACTAACCATTCAATTGCTTCGTCTGAAACGTGACCAACGCTCTGTCTCCTGCGGGGTGAATCACCAGCCTGTGCTCATTAACCCAGTACCTGCCGACTGCCAAGAAAGGGCAGCTCCAGGACAGACTAGGTCAAGCTCTCTCCCTGTTTAGGGAGCACCCACTACTCAAGACGTGTGTGTCTATTGTGCATCAAATCTAGGAACTCAGAAAAATCGGCAAGGAGACCGCAAGTGAAGGCTCGTGTTCAACGGGAGTTTCAAGTCCTAAAAGTGAACCGCACTTCTGAGCAGCTTGTTTATAAATAAACACCCCACGTCAGTCGAGGCTCGCCCTTGTTATCTGCCCACCAACCCTTCTTTAGCGAGTAAGTAGTTCCTATCTACACATTAACTCTCGGAAGATGCTACTGTACATACACACACAGCTATGTTTTAAACATTGGAGGAAATAGGAATCCACTTCCGAATCCATCAGAAATACATGACCTCTAGGCAGAAAGTACATGCAGAGTCACAGAGTGAAGGCAAGCGCACAGCCTGGGGAATGGCAAGAGGTCGGAGCCAGGACGTGGGAGAAGCGCGTCAGAGAGACGCAGCTGAAGCCCGGCTGAGGAGCTTGGCCACTCACCTTCCTTTCTTAAGAATATATGGAGACCAAGCTGGATGTGGTGGCTCACGCCTATAATCCCAGCACTTTGGGAGACTGAGGCGGGAAGACTGCTTGAGCCCAGGAGTTTGAGGCCAGACAGGGCAACACAGTGAGATCTCCTTAAAAAAAAATAGCTGGGTGTTGGTGGTGCATGCCTGTAATCCCAGCTACTCAAGAGATTGAGGCAGGAGGATTGCTTGAGCCCAGGAAGTAGGGCAGGCTGGGCAACAAAGTAAGAATGTGTCTCAAAAAAGAAAAAAAAAAAAAAAGAATATTTTTAAAAAGAAGAATGTACAAAAATCATCATTTAAGGGTCCTTATCTAGCATCGTAGGTGGCTATACCCACACCCCTGGGTTCACCCTCCCCTCTGCTGCTTAGCAGCTGTGTAACCTTCAGCAAATCATTTCCCTACTTTGAGTGCCCTTTTCCTCATCTGGGAAATAAGGCTAACAGGTTGCTCTAGGGATGAAAGGAGATGTCATGTTTTGGCATCAGCATCATTTAAAGGTTAGCTGTTACAGTTCACAAAGGTATCTTATGTGTTTCTGGGAGAAAACATAAAAACTGCAATTGTAGATTTTATGCATGTTTGATATTTAATGGCTCTAATGTTAGTTACTATGTATTCTTCTTACAATAATTATAGAAAGAAATGTAATGAGTTCTTTTCACCAAGCCTCAATAGACACCTCCAATCTCTTCCAGCTTACCTCAGGCTGCTGTGTAAACATTATCCACGTCTTACCTCAGGCTGCTGTGTAAACATTATCCACGTCTATGCATGCCAACATGTGGAAAGGCTGAGCAGCCCTGCCCCAAAGCAAGAGTGAAGCTGCAAGCCAACTGAAGGCGAGGACAGTTCAGGTATGTGCTCCAGTGTCTAGCACGTAGAAAGAGAGCAGCAGATATTTGTTCAATGAATGAGTGACTGAATTAGACTGTGACATAGGATAGATGAAAGGAAGAAAGAGCTACAAGCAGGGAGTGAGAAGATACGGCCTGGTCCACTGGGCAGGTTGCCCTGGTGTGTGGAAGATGGAGATAAGGTACACAGCAGAGATGCACCAAGCACAGACTAAAGGGAATTTCAAATCAACATTAACAACAGCAGCAACTTCCAAGTTTTACTCCATTATCTAGTTTGCACACGTGCCATTCTTCAGGACAGAAGTTCACAAAATCTTAATGCTCTTTGAATGTGTGTGTCATGCACTTACTAATTATTTACAGAGTAATGTGGTAGGCTAACAAGACTTTGATGACTTTGTGTCACCTAGCCACGTGCAACAAGAAAATCCTACACACATTAAATTTTTCTCCTAAAACACTCAAGAAAGCTTAATTTAGGATTGCTTAATGTCTCACAGAAAAAGGGCGCTAATCCTTTGAACTTGGTTACCACGCCCATAAATTAAGCCTTCTCTTCTAGACAGATATCAATGCTGGAGTTGAAGCCATCATATGAGCACCAGATTTGGCACAAGATGCCTGCGGTGTTCAACACTTGCTTCATCAGTGACCACTCCATGCCACCGGCTGCAAGAGTAAGATGACTCAACATGGGCAAAACCCAATCTCCTGCCTCTAACTCACCTGTCCTCTCAGGGCTCCCAACCTTGGAAGCACCCTGACTTTGAGATTTCATTCACATCTCACATCCAGTCCAGAAGCATTTTTTTTTTTCTACTTACATTAGAGTGGTAGAAGATTCTTTCTTCTTTCCTTCTTCCTTTTTTTTTTTGAGACAGAGTCTCATTCTGTCCCCCAGGCTGGAGTGCAGTGGCTCACTGATGAAATATTGGCTCACTGAAATTTCATCTCCCAGGTTCAAGCAGTTCTCCTGCCTCAGCTTCCCTGGGATTACATGCATGCACCACCATACCTGGCTAA